TTTATTAATATAAAACTAATTTTGTAACCTATCTCATCTCATCGGAAGATAATCTAAAGAGAATAATATAAATTTATGTATAGTTGCCCCTTAACGCCAACGCAAATAATTAGACGTCCCTCGCCGCACTAGCTATACTTAAATTATCTCAACTAATACACAATCTTGTTTAATTATGTATTCCTCTTATTAAAAAAGTATTCGTAATTTACATTTAATTATATGTATATTTTTATTGAATTAATAAAAAAACTGAGTACAATCCTGGAAACACTCAACTGCGCAGACTCTCCGCCTCCCCGGCAGGTTCTCCTTGTGTAAACGTTTTCTGAAATGACAGTTCCTATCTCCCCTCCTCTCATATCTATCATTGCGTTCGGTTTGCCACGTTCCTTTAACTCCTTTAACACTTTTAACTCCAAACGACTCTTTTAGCGTTCGGTTTAGTCCGATTAGTGACAGTTTAACACGCTTAAATGTCATTTAAAAGCACCCTAAAATTTGTCCCGCTCCAGCCCCTGACTGACCGAACTCGCCTTATGTAAGGGACGCGGATTTCGAGGTTATGTATGAATTTGACGGAGCTGATGGGTATAGAACCCTCTAAGGGTCGATTCCACCGTTGTGTTAAACGGAGATTAAAATGACATTGTTAATGTAAAAATGTCATTTTAAACTTCGTTTAACACAACGGTGGAATCGGTCCTTAATGGTATTACAAAGTTGATAAAGGTGTTAGATCTAAAACGGACGTCTTTCGAGAAGGTAAGTATATTAAGCCGTCATGAATCAGTTTCCGCTAGAACAATATATCACCCCAGTTTAAGGGTACTTGAAGCTTCTTGAACAAAATATTGAAGCAATATCTGCACTAGACAAGAAGCTCTTCGATTTCCTATTACAAAATTATTTAGAAGATTCATTGATGGTGAGATGGCAGAAGCTTATCAATATTACTGTCTATTTAATACTCTAAAAAAGGTAGAAAAATATTTAAATACAGCAACCGTTACAGCTAGTAGAAGTCGGTCTAATTCATAATTTAAAAGTAAAATACTCCTTCCAAAAATGGAATTTACGTAATTTGGAGATGTTCAGAAGTGGCTACTCTCCTGGATTTAATTTCGCAATTTTGTAGGATTCACGAAGATGAAGAATTAGAAATCAAAGATAAATGTTTCTATCTGAAATAAGCAACAATACAAAACTACAATAATATTTAACAAACACCCTGTATAGTTAAACAAAACAAAAACATTATATTAACAAAAATAAAAATAAAAACGACGAAAAAATGGACTAATTTTGTTTACAAAAATCAAATTGCAAACATTCATGGTGTCACCAACGCGCAGTTGTCAAATTATTATGAGAGGATGTGGGAGGGTCTTGTTATAAGGAGTATTTATTGTAATAATTGGATATTGACTAAACATAAGGCTATAAAGCGCACGAATGTCTTTTCAAATTACATTAGGGAAGTATGCATTCTTAATGCCAGTTATTACCAGTTTAATGTATTTTTCTCTAGTGTTTTTCAGGAAAGTACGCAATTAATTTTGGTGTGACAGGCGCGTAAAGCACGCGTAGTATACATAAATACTGATCATAGCCCTTAGTGATACTGATTCATTCATATAATCAGAGATTGTCTCTGATATCTGATATAATGCATTCTCGGTCCTCAGATTAAAACCATCCCCACTTAAATTAGCAGCTGCCTTCTTCTGTCTAATGCGGCAGCCGATAAGACGGTTCTCTCTGCGTAATAATCCGAATGATTGAAATAAATTTATAAATGAATGGATTAGTCTAGTAGTTTTTCGTCGGTGATAGTATTATGGTTGACTCATCTTGCAACAAAGTGAATGTTTTAAAATGTAGACCTAAGTGTTCACAAATTATTACTAGATAAGAGAAAAAATTTAAAATTAGGCATTCCAAACTGAATGGCTACCAGTGAGTTTTGACAGGTTATGATATAGCAAAATTATGGCAACCCTGTAGGCCTGGTGGTTTGACAAGGTCAATGAAATAGACAGTTACATAGATTGATCATCCATATTTTTCAAAATAAACATAAGCTTATGCCTTGAAGTAAAAATGTAAGCAATTATTTTTTTTATAAATATCGGTTGAAAAAATTGGATTTAAAACACATTTTTGCTAAACCAATTCAAATTAATAAATATTTGCCAGGCAATATGGCCGATCGCAAACGGCCAGCTTTGAGCAATCTATATATGTATCATTGACCCTGTTAGTGACAACACGACAACAGTGTGGCCATATCTAAACTGTCAGTCCCCACTGGTAGTGTAGCCATTTGGACAGGTCGTTGGAATGCCTAATAGCGACATTATAAGATTTTAACGACTTTTTTGGAATAAAACTGTCCTTATTTAAAATTATAAATAAGAAAATATATGTTAATTTAACTTTATAAACACGTAAATTATTTTGATATTTGTTTTTCAAATAGACTCTACACAATGAAGATCGACCAAATGTGTTTCCTCCAAATGTCTTGAACACAGGACTATATTAAGTCGGTTACCAATAATCTCTATGTAAAATCGCTATCTATATAGTAGTTTTTTTCTAAATTCTTAGGAATTTTGTATATGATAATGTATTTTTCAGAACGACTCTGTTTACCAACTTATGTTATCCCAGTCTCAATAGTTATCCCCATACATTCATGGTTATTACTTATAACTTTTTGATTTCTACACGATCTAGGCGTGTACAATCTCGTAAAACACAAAATACCATTATGTCCTAAAGGTTTTTTAACTAACACTATATAAAAACCGAACCTGTTAGTATTGCGGCGTCTTTATTGGAAAGAAAAGTGAATATTTTTTGGGTGCAAGTCCTGATAGTATGATCGAGAATGATCCAAATTCTATTTTGGAGATTAAATGTCCACATGTTTTAAAAAATGCAATATTAGAAGACGTCGTAAAAAATAAGAAAATTACTTTTCTTTTGTTTAATAAAGTCAAAAGGGAATTTAAGCTAAAAAAATCATTTATTATTATCAGATTCAAGGGTAACTACAAGAACAGGAAAAAATATTGTTATTGTGTGATGTGGTCCCCACTTCAAATCTGCACACATTGAAGTAATTGAAAAAGATGATAATTTATATTTTAAAAATATGAGAACTAAATTATCGTCTTTTTATTTTTCTTCCATGGCTCTGGAAATATTAAAAAATATTTAATATTTTTTTCCTTCTTTTAAATATTTTAACGGTTAATGGGGTCTATTCTGTAACAATTCCTTTATATTTAACGGCCTTTAAAAATATTGGCGGCCTATAAAAATATGTTCGTATTCGTTAATTTACTTCTATCATTATTTAAACAGATTTCTTTAAGATAGTTCTCTAATGTATTTTAAAGATCCGTTTAAATAGTGACCGAATTAAAGAAGAAAATATTTTTAAAGGCCGTTAAATATAAAGGAATTTTTACAGAATAGACCCCAATCACCCAGCTCGTCTATATACATCATCTCAGCGAAGTAAACGATGATAATGCATTTGGACTACTGCAGTCCGATACAGAGTTAGGGCATAATATTTTGAATGCTATATTTGTGTTATACTGTTGTCAAAAAGCATCGTAATGATATACGCCCGGTAGCGACTCCTTTTTTGAAGTGTATTGAGACATAATATAGTTATTATTTTGGAGCATCTTCAAATACAAGCCGAATTTGTTATTCAACTTGGTATGTCCCTTTATAATAACTGACTTATTGTGTAATACTATACGTTATATAACGTGTGCCAACGCTACCGTCGCACTAATAATTTGAAGAGCCAATCGCGTTCAAGATGCCTGTAAATATCGATGGTGCGAAGGTCTGTTAATCTTTGGTATACACACTCTCATTTAAATCTGTAAATTTGTGATATATCGATTGACATCCACTTAACCATCGCCTTTCGACCATCAATCATTACTCATCGAAGCATCTTCGGCTTGATGTCAAAAACAGTTATTATTTGAGAATTATGTTTTTAGGAAATAGCTTGCAGTATTTTCATTTTTTGTTCTTCAAAAAAGGGCTGTGAGATTATTAGCCAAGCCTGGTTATATAGATCATTGTAAACCTTTAATTATTGAACTCCAAATATTAACACTGACAGGTCTATTCATATTAGAAATTAGAAGCAGTGAGCTTAATTCATAAAAATAATTTAGGTATAACATCTAAGCCAAGAGAATACTCGGCAAAACAGTAACTTGATTCTTCCAATTCCACACTCTGCTATGATCAGAAATTCAATTATCTATGAAATATTTAATCACCTATCTAATTCTTTAAAAATTATTAGATCTCATAATTATTTAGAATTAATTTAAAGGAAATACTTCTTGAAAAAGCTTTCTATAACCTACAGAAGTTCTATGACAGTTTTGAATACTAGTTAGTAACATTTTATTGTATTATTTATTGTATACTGTTTTTTTTGTGTTGCCATTATGATGTATTTATCCTTTTTTAATATTAATTTTATATCCTAACTTTTCACTCTAAATTTATTTATACTTATATTTTAATTGGTTTTCTCTGACAATAAAGTATATTTTGATTGATTTAGTAACATAATCACCAGCAGGAAACGAATAATATCAGAGTTGCTAGTTTATGCTGCCTGACCGCGTTATGAAGTTGGCCGGGCCGTATAAGCTGTAGTTTTCACATGTACTTATGCAAAGCGTATTGTAAAGCATTCGATAGCCGATACTGTATTAAAACTAATTCAGGATATTATTAATTAAAAACATATGCATAAAATCCTCAAATAGTTAACTAATTGGAAATTCCAGATTTTCTATATAAACAAAACATATTTAAAACGACAATAACATTTTTATTAACATCAAAATGAACATGCTATTATTTTAAGTACATAATTTATATATCTTATCTAAAGCTTTAATAAAATAAAAACGTTTCGAATACAACAAAACATATATTTACTGTCCATATATACATACATGTGTATACTTAGCCTACAATATATTATATCTAAGTACATTTAAACATTTGAGAAGGATTTGGCTTTGTTCGGGTAAATTAAAAACAGGCTAAGCTGGAATCCAGACAAAATACTTCCAATAAAATTTGGAATCTGAAAAAAAATCTATATTATTTACGATCCACAATAGTTGCTACCAAGGTTAAACATTGAGTCCTACAAGAAAAGAAACGACACAGTATCAATGTTGCCATTCACAGGTCGAGCCACCAGTCGGTAGCTGTAACTGACAACTTCGACACCACATCATTTTCTCTCTCTCCTGCAAATACAATTATCTACAATAAAAGCAAACCAGGACCGAATATCTAATCTTACCAGCAATAAGCAGTATTGATGACAGAGGATGTGTTTTACTACTGCGAAAAGAATACTATACTTTTCTATATTTATTCACTACTCAATTCAAATTCCAATAAAGTTTCATAATTTCATTCATGGAAGTGGCAGTATTACACTAGAAAATCTAAAAGATTTCTCGCAAAATTCAATAATGCACAAAGGAGAAATCAAAATTTAATTACGTATCCTTGTAACTATCACTTTCAATGACATATACATAATGATGTTTCCTTTCAATTTACCCGCAGAACGCAATCCACGTTCAATTACAATTACGAAATTACGATGATCAAAGGTAACACACAAAGTCTAGACTGTCTGATGAACAAACTTTGACAGTCAGTTTCGCTCGGAGTGGAGGAGGCATGGTCCGTTAAGTCCCAAATTTATAGTATTCATACTAAATAATTATGGGCGTCAGTCTAGGCGTCAATTCGATTTGAATATGCCAAAATAACTATGTTTCTTGTCCCCAAACTAAATCGAAAAAACGCTTAATAAACCTCCAATGCATAAACATGTACCCCAGACTTTATAAAAACACAACAGGTGATCAATGTCACTTAAAAAACAAAATATAAACATAATGTGGTCATAGTGCTGATAAAATTGACAAACGTAGTAAACAGTATGAAGTGTCCCTGGGAAAGAAATAAAACTAATAAGAATATCTCCGATGAAATAGAAAATCCACCCAGGGTATTTAAATAAAAAGCAAATAGGGTCACAGGCGCTGGTACCAAGACGTGTGACATGATGTAGTTTTTCATTGAGAAAATTGTAATAAACTAAATTACTAACATAACTTATTTGTTACTTACTTGAATAAATGTGTCCTTCAGAACGAAACCATAAATAAGCCATTGCAAAGAAACAATGAACGAAGAAAAAATGAGATGATATGGAAGACTCTCAGTACTCTTTACTTTGATGACATGCAAAAGTGATGCCAATGGAGCAGCAAAAAATAGAATTGTAACTCCACTGCATATTAATCCTAGGTGCGTTCTAACTTTAGTTGGATCTTCACCATTGTGCACATGTATCAGGATAATAATCAATATGAAAATACATCCAGTGAATTGACGTACAACTGTTGTCTAAAAAAAATGAATTATTGGTAAAATATACTATAATAAATATGAATTTAAAAAAAAAATGTTAAGTTAAAGTTAAGTTAACAAAGATTTGTATTAAGTCATGGTAAAAATATACTATTTTTTTATACATAACATTTTACAATTTTGCTTTTCATTTCATTGGTTTTCTTATAAATATTTTTAGTAATAGCTTTTATTTTTAAGGATTAAGGTTTGACACATTTAATACTTTACATTGTATTATTAGAGGCTTGAGGCTATAATAAACCTAGATGTTGTAAGATTCATATCTACACTGACAGTTCTAAAACAAGGTTCAGGGTGTGGAATATACTCCAGATCCTCAAATCAAATATAAAATAAACTGTGGGCAATAATAGTGCCAATGCAGTTCAAACTGAGTTCACCGGGATTCTCACATCAGCAAAAGAAATTACCAGAAACAATATCATTGGAAGGGACATGCTCATCTATAATATACATAGCAGACAAGCACTACTCACCCTGGACAGGCCACACGTTTATTCAAGGTTAATGATAGAATGTCACGAACCTTTGACAGAAGTATCCATCAACAATGTGGTCACCTTAGGATGGTTCAAACGCCACAACACATCGAGAGGTAACCGTCTTGCCGATTCACTAACCAAGAAGGCAGCCAATCAACTACGTCGGTCGTGACAAACCTAATTAAAGAACTTTTCCTTGTGAACTTCAAGGAAAGGTAGGATGAAACAAGAAGCTGCAGAGTTGCTAGGAGCTTTAAATTTACCCTGACAAAAATACATTAACAAATACTTGACTATGATTAGACATGCATTCTGACTGGTCATTGCAAGTATGAAAACACCTTCATAGGATGGGCTTGTCAGACTAAGCACTCTGCAGAGGGTGTAGACAAGAAGATGAGATATCGAACACATTTTCTATGATTGCCCAATGCTCACATCTAATACATTTGTGTTCAGCGACATTATTTACAACACCCTTGTAGATACAATGTGATCAGCGTGGAAGTTGTTAGAAATCTAGTCATTTTTGTGTATAATAGCTCGTTATTCCCTTTCGAGATATCTTGACCAATGAGGATTCAGACGCCCACCTGTGAAATGATCTAAGTGAAAAGAAATGGTTACGTACTGAGCAATTTAGACATGTAAATTGTAATTATGTTCAGACAATTGTTTTTATATGTAAGTTTTTCATTGCTTCTATTCTTTTCTGATTTAACTAAGATGGAAAATTACGTTGTTTTAGTTTAGTTTTAGAAATTAACTAATTGATGTATTTGTAAGCTTATTTATTTTACTTTATCGAGTTTTTATTTTAATACAGGATTACACAAACGTTTTTGTTGCGAATTTATATATATATTTTTTTTTTTTTTGTTTAATTTTCATAATATTTAAGGAATGAATGAATTCGGAATGTTAATTCATTTTTTAAGAGACTTCAAAACTAACAGGTGTTGTTGTTGCCTATAACTCATAATAACTGCTTTTTTTAAAGATATTAACATGGTATTTTACAAAATTTCAACTAAAATAAACAACCTCTTTTGGCAGATTGTAAAAAATATATAAAAGGAAAATTAAAGTAATTTATAAGGCAAACTAAACTGCTTTACGAATACTTGTTCGATTACAATAAAAATAGTTACATCATAACCTTTATTTCAAATATACAGGGTGTTACTTAATGATAGGCCGTAATTCCAAGGGCGCTTTCCTAAACCAAGTTCAAGTAGAAACTTTTATATAAATGTGTCCTAAAAAGTCTGATTTTCAAGGTACAGGGCGTCAAAGTTTAAAAAAATTGATTTTTTTATTAATATCAATCGATTTTGTTAAGTTTGTGTTCTTCATTTTGATAAGACGGTAAGTTAACATTAACTAGAAGATAATTATGAGTTCCAGTGGCGTCGCGGGGGACAGTCTTATGAATAATATTGACAAAAATAATGTACGCCACTGTCTTTTTAAAATATTTATATTTTTATTCGATTAAGCAGCTAAAATACAACTTTTTTTTTGTATTTTTGATTTTTTCGTATCTTACTTCGTTTTTGAGAAAACAATAAAAACCACTTTATTGCATATCGAAAAATTGTTAAAATTAACAATAAGATCAAGTTAACTTTGATCGTTGCTAGGAAATGTTATTTTGTTGTTATGGACATACTGTGGTTGACTTTCCGTTAACAGTTAACTTTCTCTATTTAATAGGTAGATTGTGCTATTAAAAAAAAGGTAAATAATTATTCTAATTTGGAGATGACACAAATGCATTTCCTTTATGGTCTTGCCAATGGTTATTCCGCGAAGGCCCGGCGACTGCATCAAGGAAGGTATCCTGATCGCGTACCTTCTAGGCAGAAAAATATTAGTAAACATTCATCGTCGTCTGACGCTCTGGCAGTTTTAAACGTAATACCTCCGGGGAAAGACCTCGTACAATTCTTACTGCGGCAGTTGAAGATAATCCAGAAACTAGTACGCAAAAAATTGGTATGGAAAATTTTAAGAGATTCTTTGTTGTATCCTTACTTTTCAGGCGCTTCTTCCAAAATATTTTAAACCGCGTACGCAATTTTGTAGATGGTATCTTCAAAGACTTGCAGAAAATCCTCACTTTGATTCCATCATTATGTTTACGGACGAAGTGCACTTAATATCCATAATAATCACATCTGGGCCCAAGAAAATCCTCATGCTATTACAGACCCATTTTTAGGAACAATTTTCTCTCAACGTTTGAATCGGTATCATAGGTGACTATTTGATTGAAACATTTTTTTTAGCAAGACGACTCAACGGTCAGTCTTACAGTAATTTTCTACAATATGATTTGTCTTTACTTCTTGAAGATGTTCCTCTTCAGTTACGGCAACAGCATTGGTTTATGCGTGATGGTGCTCAATACCACTTTAGCATAGTGGCTTGTATTTAAATAGAGCTTACCAAAATCGTTGGATAGGTCGTGGAGGACCCCAATTCTGGTCACATAGATTGACCGACTTGAAAACTATAGATTTTTATTTATGGGGGCACCTAAAATCATTACTTTATCATTATCGAAATAGTTCGTCACTCGATGAAAAGACGAGCAGAAGCCTGCATAGAAGCGGGAGGTGGTAATTTCCAACATTTGTTGTGAATATTCTGTTAAATTGTTATTATATTTGATTTGTTAGGCTTTAAAAAATGGCTTATAAATGAATATTGTGCAACGATTAATGTTAACTTGATTTTATTTGAACAATTTTTTAATATGCAATTAAGTGGTTTTTTAGCTGTGTAATCTGAAAAAAATATAAAAAAAAAAATAAAAAGTCAGTTGCGAACATTTGTTTGGTCTGCCCCCGCGACGTCACTGGAACTCATAATTTTAACCTAATTAGTGGTAACTTAGCGCCTTATCACTGTGACAGACTTCTGGTTAACCTACAGTGAATTACGAAGTCTGTATGGCGGTAAGATGGTGAATTCAGAAAAGGGGTTGCTCGGGCGCCAGTTTTGGTAACATAGTTTGCTCTGCGACCCTACAGTATACCAGAGTGTACTCAAGATAAACTCAGTGGAGTTAAAAATACTTCCAGGCGATCACTGCTAACGGTAGCCACTAAATTAGAATTAAAGCACTTATCTCCTTAATACCTCGTACCCTACGGTACCCTGAAAGAAAACGGTCAAGAACCGGAAATAAAAGAAACACAGGGATAAATAACAAAATATTTTTACAAAAAACAATAACTCCGGCGCGGTATTGGCACCCCCTGTAGAAAATAATTTATCACTAAAATAAAATTTAATTAAATACAACAGTTCAGCAACGCTAGAAAATAATTGAATGATAACTTATGATTCTCCCTGCATACAGAAAATAACTTTTTAAATAAATTAAAATTTTCCACAAAATAAAGTAAAATAAAAAATAAATAAAACGGTTCAATAATTCAGAAAGTAAATATGATTCTCCCTGTATTCAGAAAATTAATTTTTCACTAAATAAAATTAGTTAAATATAGAAACTGAAAAGTAAAAAAAAAACATTGATACCGAAATTTATAACGCTATCGGTATACATAAAGTAACCTTTTCGACTAGTAAATTGATAATGCGACGATCGAATGAAAAATAATATCGTCGCTCGGGTATATGGGAAAATGAAATTACTACTCTGCAGTGGGTACTCAATCGGGGATGGCTTTTAAAAATCAACTGGTAGAATAACCACTACACCGCAGACACTGAATTTCGAGACGACTTAGGAATGCTATACGGGACGGTCGGTTGTAAAGTTTCCTGGATCAGAGCCTATTAGGAAGGTCCGCAAATAGCTCGACCAAGGGAGGTTTGACAACGCTAGATTGCGCTAATTTTTTTTTTTAAGAATGAATGCTATACCGGGCGGCTAGTTGTAAAGCTTCCTGGATCAGAGTTTATTAGGGAGGTCCGCAACTAGCTCGACCAAGGGAGGTTTTACAACGATGGATCGCGATAATTTAATTTAAAAAAATGAACACAGGATATTATGAACGGTTCACTAACTTTTTCACTCGTCTCTAGGACATCGGAATGCCAGCACTCAAAAACAGCACTTACGGCGGTCAGGAATCAAGAGGGCGAAATTTGTTTTCTCATTTCTATTTATACCCTCCTAGCAGAAAACTCTTTGCATGAAATTCGGTCTTTTAATTCGAACATGATTTACGGTACATACTAGAATATTTTAAACTACGGGGGCTCTCTCAAATGTTCAAAACCGGCAATTATTAGGGAATCCAAAATACGGGGATCTTTAAAGCGTTCTTCGACGGAAATTAATTAAAATATACATTTTATAAATAATTAAAATTTAGTGACTTCATTACATCACAATGAAGACCACTGCCAAATTTCAACAAACTCGACAAAAGGATATTTGAGATATATTAATAAAAAAAATATTTTTTAAAAAACTAAAGAATAATTTGTTTGGTTTAAAAAATAATTCTTATATTCCTATACGCTAGAAGGCGGCGATTGCACTCTTCCAGTGATGCAGTTGTGTTCTTATTGTAATTGGACCCTACCTGCATACAAAAAATATAAAACAGTTTGCTACAAGTACCGCTTTGGTACACTTAAAGTACATAAGCGGAAACTCCTGCTCAGTTTGAAATTATTTCGATTTATTTATATTTTTCATTTTAGTTACTTTTATCTATTTTATAATGAATGTAGGTAAGATTTTGCTTGTATCCAAAACCAAAATGAATTTTATGGTAAGTTTTAAACACTATAAATAATCACATTTAATTCTAGTTTCGAAAACACAGGATAATACTGATTTGCTTGATTTATTTAATTTTTATCAAACACCTATATTTTTGTTAGAAAATTTTATTTTATTAAGAATGAATATCAAAATTATTTTGTTTTTAAGAACGTAGAAGAAAGTAATCACATTAAATTCTGCTCCTGAAAATTAACATTTCTTTCGACAACATTTAGCTAATATCGTCGCAGCTAAACTATTTTCTAACTAGCCCAATTAGATTGAAAAATCTTGTTGAGATTTGGACCAATGTTATAAAAGACTTTTTTTGTTAGTTTTGATGTCAGCTATTAAGTACCCATTAAAATTTGTTAAACCTTAACCCTGTATATTGTTATGCTACAAAATGAAAATGATTGAATTAAATTTTTTATTGACACAATTAAATCTGTAGGTGTTTTATATGTACATAATTGTTTTTCCGTTAATAGCTTATTCGAAAAATATTTTTGATAAAACATATATTTAAACTTACCTTGTTAATACTGTATAAATAAAAAGTTATAACGTAGGCAAAAAATAAAGTGGATCCAACAGTATTGACCAAAATAATTGAACTGTCTTGGATTAAAAAACCATATCGAAGCCACAGACTTGTCGCTAGGCATCCACTTACAAATGGAAATGGCGATATATCTCCAGTGCTTTTATTTTGAACAATTTTTTGGCAGGTCAATCTAAAAGAAAGCCAAGAGTGAAGACTTTTATCTGATTTTTAAAATTAACCCTTCTAGGGTTCCAGTGGCTGCTGGTGCATAAGTGATGTAGAGCTACTGAACTGCCAAAAAAATGCAAGTGTCTCATCTGAATTTCATAAAAATTATTTGACATTTTAAAATATACCTAAAATAGATTTTACGGATAATCTGAACGTCTCCTTTAGTTGTTATAGTAGTCTATGGGCATATGCCTGTGAAAAATATCAATTAAAAAGTTTGCAAAGAGCAAAACTTTCTTGTCAACAGTATTTTGATTAAATATTAAAAAAAGGTGAATTTTAAGTAGAATTGTTCAATATACCTTTTTTTATTTGTGATAAAAATACTGTAGACAAGAAAGTTTCTCTGTTCGCAAACTTGTTAATTAATCTTTTTGACAGACATATGCCTAACAAGACTACTAGAACAACTAAATACTTATTAATTAAAATTAAATTAAAATTAATGAATTATCCATAAAATTTCGGTATTTTTTAGAATACCTATCTAAAATAATATCTGTGAAATGTAGATGAGATACTTGATTTTTTGCAGTTCTGCAGCTCTACAACACTTATGCCACTGCTGCATTCTGTAATGCAATGTAGGAAGAAAAAATTGAAAAGGACAGCAGCTTCAAGAAATTCCAAAAAAGTTATTTTGATACAAATGTTGAATAAGAGGGAACTCGACGACCAGGATATCTTTTATATTCTTTTGAAACCATTCCCATTACAGAATCCGTACATAAAAATTAGATCTGCAAATTCGGCATTTAAGAATTTATGAGGTATTTTGAATAACAACATTAACAACAAAAACTCTAAACACTATTGTAAAATAGATGAAACAAAGCAAAATATTATTTTACAGGTATAAATAAATGACAAATATATAAAAACAAACAAACGTCAAACTATCACAACCTACCTTGATACATAGATACCTACTATTTCTAATAAAAATAAAACCACATAATAAAGAAATATTAGAGAGTTACTGCATTTCTATGACGTCAGCCACTAATAGTGACAACATAATAAGAGGCAAATATATTCCATGCTACAATAAGACTTAGTGCAAAACTAAAATTTTAACATTAGAGTCCTTGTCCTTATACATATTTCTAATCTCATTTTTAAAATTTTAAATTACAGTTCATCTTTTTTTTGTTTATAATAGTACATAATATGGAAGACATTAGAAATTACATTTTTAGAAAGTTTAGATGACGATGATATTTAATATTAAAAAACTTCGAACTGATACGAATGTCGGCGAGCGCACTCGAAAACTATAAAGTCGCCACTATATACTGTCCTTAAACATCCAGAATTAAGGACAGGCACATCTTTATTGAATGAATAAGGATAATTTCCTGACCTTAGCAGAATTTTATATAAATAAAAATTTCCTAGGTTTATTCGGTCATGTTTTTATTTTAGCACAGCACTACATATGTTTCGGAAACATTTTTTCCATCTTCGGGTGCGGTCAAAATTTAATAAAACTTGAGAACGATTACAAACGGTTTAAAAAAAAATTTAAATAACAGAAATCCCATCTTTCTGTTATTTATATAAAATCTTTATTAAAGTCAATTCTAGAATGTAAGTGATCTGCGCATGCTCAGATGTCAAAATACGAGCATTTATAATTATTAATTAAATATTGAAAATTTATTTTTTCAAATTTTGTAAGTTTTCGTTCTTTGTAGTTTTAGTTTATTTTAAAATTTCTTACGAGTTGTTCGTTATTGATATTCGTTACAAATTTATTTATTTATTGTTTATTGACATGTTTAACTTAGTTGAGTAGTTTTTACAGTCTACAAAAATGTACAGGGCGATTTCTGTTTGAAATTAAAAAATTTATATCTGAACTAATCCGGACCTGGAAATTTGGAAAAATGAAATTATGTTCGACTCCTTTTATTTCAAATGTAGACAACTAAAAATGTTTTTTTGGAGTTATAATGTTATTATATGACACCTTAAGGTGATTTTTCAGTTTTGCCAAAATCGAAACTTAATAAAAAAAATTAACGAAAATGTGACAAAAATATCACATACACAGATTTGATTGTCTATCTATGTACTTTAAAAGTCTCTTATTATAATTTTAAACATCGTATACAAGGCGAACTTTTTGATATGAAACATAGAGATTAATTATTTTTCCTAAGCCTATCCTGTATTTTTTAACTTTTGAGGATATGAATTAAATGCTAGACAACAGTGTACCGTTTCACCAAAAAATTAGAGAAATCTAGTAATACTTTTACGGCAATATACGTTTTTTCAAAATTCACAAAAGATGTTAATAATGAAGGGTAGTTGCTACTTTTTAATGTTCACATGATATACCCCCTAAGGGACTCTACATATGGTAAAAGTCTGTAAGGTTCCTCATGACTCACCCTGTATAACATATCTATCATGTTATACCTACACTTTTGGAATCAGCTTGTTGAGAGTAATTCAAAAGTATTAAAAAATATGTAGTCCCATTTAAAAACATTGTCTTGTGTTGACCTAAGGTTGAATGATTAGTGATTTTCTTTTTATAATGAAAGAAAAGTTAAATGAAAATAATCAGTTGAGGTCAGAAAAACTAAATGCAATTTCGGAAATTGAAAAATCTACAATTTCCCCTACGAAATTATGAAAATTCTACAAAGTGAAAACAAACCAAAGAAAAATTGAAATAGCTGAGAATTATAGAAAGAAATAATGAGTAACTCAATTGGTAAGCCTATAGACAGCTAAAGTCCGAGGTTCAGGGTTCGACTTCCGGCCGATGTCCTCATTTTTTCATTTCTTCGGAAGAATTTGGGATTTTTCATTTTCATATTTCAAAATTTGCAGTTTTTAGGATCTCAACTGATTATTATATATTGTATATATTATATTTTCACGTTTACGGCGTACCGTACTTAAAAACTTCAACACCGATGAACGAATAAAGGGTTTTAAATTTTTTTCTAGTATAATCATATTTATATAGATTATCGTTCTTCTATACGATGCCATTGGGGTGGCTTTAAGGAGAATTGAAGGAGTTGAGATGGGATGGAGATTTTTGTGTACCGACGAGTCGGGATCTGATTGACTTCAAATCTACGAAATTGGATATCAAAGTATGGACGGCTAAAGTACGAGGTTCCGGGTTCGATTCCTGACAGATGTACTCATTTTTTTTTAATTCTCAGCTTTTTCAATTTTTCTTTGGTTTGTTTTGACTTTGGGGATATGAGGGTGTAATTTTCATAATTTTGTAGGGGGAATTGGGATTTTTTCATTTTAATATTTCCAAAATTGTATTTTATTTTTACATGCAAACTTGGAAAACTATAAGTTAATTCTTACTTACTGTATTGTAAAAATAACGAAAATTTAAGTTAACGTAGCTTTCAAGTTACTTACAATTTCAGTCGATGTAAGTAAGCTCAGAGTAGTGCTTAAAACAAAGTGATAAGTGAAACTAATTACAAGTGCCTTGGTAGGATTCCCCACTCGACCATTCACTGTTGGGTTCTAATTAACAGTGCTGTTCCTAAAGTGGCGCTGGGAAACAGTAACAAAGCCTACACAGAACACAAGGCTAATGCCTTAGTAGTCGATGCCGATGACACCAAAGTAAAAACAAAATACAAGTATGAATATGTTAAAATATGTCAATATCAAATATCATTTTTGGTGTTTATAAGTAGGTATGTTTTTTTTTCACTAAACAGTGTATCAAAAGTTATTTAGGGTTAACAGTTTTAAATAAAAAGTACTGTATGATATTGAAAAGGCACTTAACAGAAATCCAAGAGAGGTTATTTGGTGTGTTCGGAAAATGAAAAGCAATCCAGTGCAATATGTGTTGCTGCACCTGGTTCAGAATATGTGACTGGTTAAGATAAATAAATAAATTTTGTAGAAATTGGCAAACAATATGCAGATTATGCTATACTATTTTCCAAAATAGTTAGACTAGTGGTGAAAGTGATTGAAGAATTAGTAGGTTAGGTTAGGTTGAAAATGAGTGGGATGATCTCATCGCCCTCCACTGCGACCCAGATGGGTCTATTGTGGCTCATAACTAACTTATAGTTCACCGTACAAGCCACACCTTTTGATGAAGGTCATTGTTGAATTGGGTGAGAATTCTCTAAAGTCGGTAGGCTCCAGTCGGGTAAATCTGAAGATCTGGAACCTGGTTCTTTCCAGAGCGGAGCAGGTACATAGAATGTGCTCTGCAGACTCGTCCTCCACGCTGCAGAATCGACAGTCCGATGTTTGTTGCAGACCTATCCTTCTCATGTGGTTGCCCAGACGGCAGTGTCCTGTCATCAGTCCAGTGAAAATGCGTAGATCTCTCCTACTCCATTCTCGGATCTGAGCAGAGGCGTTCATGGAAGGGTTGTTTATAAACGCCTTCGAATGGGTTAGCCCTGGGGTATCTCTCCAGTTCGTGAGTGTTGCACCCTCCGTCTATTTTGAGATAATTCCTTTGGCAGTGCTTTTTGCAATGCCCAGGAATGGTTCTGGTCCTATGAACACAGATTCGGTTCCTCTTTTAGCAAGTGCGTCGGCTTTTTCATTGCCCTCCACACCACTGTGTCCTGGAACCCAGATCAAAGTAACTTTGTTCCGGGCACCGAGACACTCTAGGGTATTTATACAGTTCCAAACCAGCTTTGAGTCAACTCGATTGGAGCTCAGGGCCTTAAGGGCTGCCTGGCTATCTGAAAAGATCTTTATAGTCTTGTTTGCGGGGAGAAAATTAATCAACTCTCTCGCTCCCAATTCTATAGCAATCATTTCTGCTTGGAAGATCGTGGCCAGAGAGCCTAGGTTTATTGATATGTCAACTCTAGGCCTCTGGCCGAAAACTCCCGCTCCTACTCCTTTTTCAGTTTTGGAGCCGTCCGTGTACAGCGCATAGTCTGCCTGGAAGAGGGTTTTTCCCCTTTGCTCCATGCGTAAGAATTAGTAGAGAAAAATAATATATTTACTTAGATTTTAGTTTCACAAATGATCCTATTTTAAGGCAGTTTCTGGTAATGATGGAAAATTGTATAAAAATGCAAGATAATGCATTTGAAATCAACTGTATAAAAATATAGATAGTAAATGCAGCGTGAATAAAGTAAAGAGTGATATATGGTCAACCAGAGTTAAAATAATAATTTCTATTGTTCAACAAAAAAGTTGTTAAAACAGTAAGTATTTTATGTACAGGTTCCAATGTTCAGAATTAATATATAGGAACGAGTAGAAAATGTATGTTGATGAGTTGAAAAATAATTAATTTATTTTCTTTAAGTATTTGAGTAAATCAAACTCAAAATCTAGTTACACATAAAAATTTTAACATAATTGATGACCAGTTATGCTAATTGCCATTTGCAAGCCTATAATAAGATGTTAGAAGTTAGCCAAAATTGTGATGATTTTAAGCGGAATTAGAATTTGCGCAAGAGTAATAATTGTTTTAGCTTGCTAATTGAATTTAGCATAATTTCAATAAAATATAAAGCTAATAGAATAAAAAAAACCCGAAAATTCATTGACAAGCAAAAATTGTTCATTTGCTTTTTTGAATTATTTCATGAAGGTAGATCCTAAATAACAGGTACCACAGAAGTACTCAGTGCAAGCAGAGATGCTTTATGATGACACCCTACTTAAAAGATTGAAAATTATAACAAAAAAAATTGTTGAGGAAGTTCCAAAGTCAGGTCACTCTCAGTATGAAAGCTATTATACATGACAGTTCTAGATGTTCTAAGCAGGACGGAGTACAGGTGTGTGTTGAGTGTTAAGGAACTGATAAGGCTGGTAAGGCGCTTTGACTAGTGCAAGTATAATGGAGCATTCAAAGAAGCAGAAATTATTGAAGTATTGGACGAGAACAGATAGTAAGTTTAAACAAGAATTAAATCATCATGAAGAGAATTATGTTCGGGATCCAAATATATTAAGTGCGATAATAAATGCTGTGTTTTAATATCCACGTCCCATGTATTTCTTACATCTCGAGCATTTTTTTATATTTATGACATGACATTCAGACTAAATATTTATTTCACTTATTTGCAGATGATGCCTTCATTTACCATTCTTCTCTAAATACAATAGATGTTGTTACAATGGTTAAAAAGTGCTTAGAAATTGTTTATAGATGGTGTTGTGCTAATTTATTAAACATTAATCGTAAAAAACCAAATTCATCATAATTGGTAATGAGCAGCAATATAAACTCTTTGTCGAACAAGATCATAAAATAATGATTGGGCATTCGGAAATTCATAGGGTAGATAAATTCAAATATGTCGGAGTAATTATAGATCGACAACTTAAATTTTTAAACAGCAGGCAAACCATTTAATAAAAACAATTTCATTTAAAATAAATTGTCTTTTCAACATTTATCTAAGTGGTCAAGGCTGGTTTTATTTAATTCTCTAATACTACCTCACTTCATTTACTGCTCAACAGTATTATCTCTTAAATCAAACTAAAAGAAATTGTTTCCAAAAGTTGCAGAATAGAGCTATGCGAATAATACTATCATGTCCTAGATTGACGCCTACTGTATAAATGCGGATATCTTTAAAGTGGCTCTCAATTAAAAACATATTCCTTTACCATGCATTAATGTTTATATTTAAAATAAAAATAGGTCACGCACCTGACTCTCTCTAAAATAAAATTATAACCATCATGTTCACACTCATAATACAAGATTTTTTTAAGGCCTACAGCAATTTAATGACTTGCCAGAAGATCTAAAGAAATTAGATTCAATTAATTTATTTAAACATAAACTAAAACAATATTTGTTAGATGTAAGTAGGTAATTTAGGTATTGAAGTATTTGTTATTAATATTATTATTCTATGTGTGTTGTTTAATTATATTTTATTTTATATGACTACAGTTAGATTAATAACTTATTTTAGTTAGACATATATTTTTAGTGAGCATGTATTAGTTGTTTTTCACTAAATAAAGGATTTAAATTTGTTTATCCACATCGGACACATCTACTATATCTGCATCTATGCATTTGTTTATCCAAGATGTAGCTGTCCAGATTACATTTTTTCCCGTTCAATTTGAAATGAGATGTGAATGAATGTTCGTTCCATGCCAGAAAGTAGCTGTTCTGTGAAGCCAAGTTTATCGATTTATCATTTGTTTATGCTAGAGTGAATATAAAAGTGATTAGTTTGTTTAATTTTTGTTTAGTTTTCAAAATTTAAGTTGATTTCTAGTCTCAAAAGTATAAACTTCTAACTTGCCATTGTTATTTTATCACGTGACCAATAAAGTCTAGAGCATTTGTTTTATTTCATCTACATTTAGATCTAATCCTTTATCACGTGATAAAAAATTCACAACATCCCAGAAGCATCCGATGTGGATATTCAAACGCAGCAATAGATTCTATAGTCAATTTGAATGCAGATAAAATAAATTCTAACCTGAAAATCCTTCTGTTAGAGTAAATATTCCTTAAATACTAGAAAACAGATGATTTTAAATTAAAGAAAGAAGTTGTTCATATTTCTTTATTAATATTTTACTTAGTCCTTTACCCATATTTGATCAGTGATGCGTTTACGTAACACCTTAAATTTTATATATTTTTTAAGCACATATATGATATATTATTTATGACATGATCTAATTTTTTTTCACAATAGTACCATCGAACTAAAAAACGATAAACTTTACATTTTTTCATATTTCTACAAAATAACTTTTCGTAAACGTGATCGAAATTAACATTGTTGGATAAGCAATTTTGAAATAAGCCAACTTTTTGTTTTAAACAAATTTATATTATCTCCTTCTATTTCTTATTTAGCTGTCATTATTTATCATTGGATTTAAAATATTTTATGATTAATGTACCGTGGGCAGTGTGAAATTAATGAATGAATGAATGAATGAATGAATACGTTTATTTAGCCATCGCTAGTAGATACAATATTTTGTCATTGAGATATATATTTTTTTATTTTACAAAATTGTTAATTTGATTCTCTAAAATATTTACATAATTTTTTGTTAAACAAATTCAAATTTCTAGTCCTTGATTTTTTTGGCTGAATATTAAAGAGGTTTATTCCACTAATTAGCAACGATCCCAATAAAAAGATTTCATTTGAAAAGTTTATGTTAAAATTTTCTTCTAATCTTAAATATCGAGAATATAAATGTTGATGTGTAACTAATAACTCACTTAGATATTTCGGTGTTAAATGATGCATCATTTTATAAATTATAACTAGGTTTGCCTTCTTAATAATATGTTCAACAGAAAGCCAATTAAGGTTTTGTAGCATGTTATTGATTGGAGTGTAAATACTACATTTTAGGACCACCCTCATACATTTGTTTTGGAGTACTTGAAGTCTGTTTAGTTGTTCTTTATTACATGAAAGTAAAAGTGACATACAAAAGTTAAAGTGTGGATATATAATTGTGTTGTAAATAAGATTTCCACTCCACTGAGATAAATTTGAAGCTATTCTTCTAAAAAACCATATTTTCTTCCCCAATTTCCTACATAAGTAATCTGCATGACTGTTGAAAGTCAATTGGGGATCTGAAACTCCTAGGTATTTAATTGTATATATTTGTTCAATGGCAATACTGTTTATACAGATGATAAAGTTATGTGCTGCAAAATTGTTACAGGCCAATTTAGATCCCAGTGCCATACACTTGGTTTTATTTTCATTTAATTTTAATTTATTGATACACAACCAGTCATACAGAATACTTACTTCACTGTTTAAGGTGCAAAAAGCTTCCTCAAAATCACTAGCAGTGACAGATATGTGTGTCATCCTACTTCTTAGATGGTAGTAACTCTTACAAGTACACACTATCATGCACTGAAAAAAGAAGCTAAAAGATATACTTATTCGACATGAAAAGAAGGTTGTTCAAGTATCACAACCAAATGTTGTCTCTGAGTATAATATATACATGGGCAGAGTTGACCTTCAGGATAATGTGGAGTAGCTAATTATCGAATATAAAAGGAAAATAATTGTGGGAGACCTTATTTAGAAACACCATAGACAACATTGCAGTAAACTCACGTAATATATGTAACATTACACATGATAAAATGTTGCAGTTTTAATTTAGATCCTACATTGTTTCGGCTTACTGTAAGTAGAAATATGGAAAAGAACAAAAAATTGCAAAACCGTTGATGAACTACCAAGTAAATTCTCTCAAGATAAATAAAGTATCCATAGTCCTCAGAAGATGAAAATAAGAAAAATATGTCGAATTTGTTCGATATTTGGCCATAGCCAGACAATTTATACATGCAGAAATGTAACTTCTACCTTTTGTTGACTTCTTCCAAGCTTATTATAAGTAGTTTATGGTGATACTTTTATGCAACACCTTCTTTGTAAAGTATGTTTTAAATTTTTTTGTTAATTTTTTTATTCTCATGAATGTATTTTGATAAAAGTTTTGGTCTTTGTCTAGTTTGAGCTCTTTTCGGCTCGGTCTTGGGTTACTGAAAGCATTAATTATTAAAAAAACTAGTTTCATATTAAAATTATAAAATAAAATGTTGCGTTCGGTGTTGTTACAGTTATCACAAGATGCAAAATACAAAAAACTAGGGCATAATATTTCAAAAATCAAGTTTTCTACAAATTATCAGTTTAATTTATTTTCACTTGGAAAAAATATTAGTTATATAAAAATAAACTTACGTTCCAGTTAAAAACTGCAAAATTGTGCATACCGAAGCAGTCGTAGCCAAAATGCTTTTAAAATCGCTCTCGTTCATATTTAAGAATCCTATGTCTTAATTACCAAGGGTTTCCGGTTGAACGTTTGTGTGTGTTTGTTTTCATTGTTGGAATATTAATTGACAACACGACAATGTATTTTAATATCTTTTAAGATGACAACTTTCTGCTCATGCTCAAAATTTTACAAAAGGGATGAGATAAAATCACGTAAAAAATTCCAAATTTTGTTTGGTTAGATTTTCTAGTGAACTGATTGATTAAATGATCGCAGACTACAGATCGAGTTTACAAGTCAAACGATACTAAACATCGATATATTTTTAATCAATTCAGGAAATAACAGATTTTCTATTTAGTAAAGAAGAGTCCACCAAACCAATTTAAATAAATTATTTAGGTTGTAGAAAATTAAAACATTTTATCAAAATTGTTTTCTATTTAGATAATAATATCGAAATTATTATTTTTTGTTAGTTTGCAGTTCGCAGTTCGCAGTTCCGTGTTTCGATATGGTTTCGATTGATTGAAGATCGATTTCGACATGTCACTACTGACTGACTGACTAACTGTCATCGTATAAAATAAAGTTGTTATTTAAAATCAAAAATACCACAGACATTTAAGAATTTAACTTTTTTGCAAAAATGATGTGAGAGTAACATTAAATTACTCATATGGAAGGCATTTTATGGAAGTGGACTAATTATTGGAATGGTAAACATAAATAATGTAACTCTAGATCCAAATAATAAAGATCTTATTTTTTTTTGTAGGATGGCAAACAAGATGGTTTGTATTAAAAAATGGAATATTATCTTATTATAAGTCACAGGAAGAAGTTAATCAAGGCTGCAAAGGTTCTCTTAAAGTACAAGCATGCGAAATCAATGGTATGTTAATAAGAAATTATACATTAATTCCATATGTTTCTAGTAGATTTACCATTTGATTTTTAATATATTTTTTTACTACATAAAGTACATAGTACAGTATACATTTAGAATTACCTTTTATTTTTATAAGACAGTAAATATTGTCTATACCTACTAAAAATTATATATTCACCATATACCTAGTAGGGGAGCCCAAGAGGAGATCTCGGGATTTACTGAACGAGACAGATGAATATGAGAAGGGATACCTTGCACCCTGCTGATTACCTCCACCATATTTAATTCCTTCATGTAGAGCCAGGCGTCTAGGGCAGGACCAATATTGTTTTCAATATATACATGTAATATTTATAGTATTTTAAAATTTTGCAAATCATATATGTATGCGGATGACACAGAGCTCAAGTATTCATTTTACAGCTGTGACGTACTACGTGCCAATGAACTAATTAATCAAGATTTGACCAATCTGTCAATTGAGTCCAAAAGGCACTTTCTATCAATAAATCCTTTCAAAATGGTAGTAATAATTTTTGGTAAACATAAAGATCAAATTAAAAGTGAAATGAAAGTAAATATAGAACAGACAGTATTGCCCTTTGCTGAAGTTGCTAGAAACTTAGGTTTAGAGATTGATAATGAATTGAGATTCAAATCACACGTATCAAAATATATCCAAAAGGCCTACGCAAATTTAAAGATGTTATTTCCTCATAGACATGTTTTATCTACATCCACTAAAATTCTGCTTTGTGATTCTTTAGTTCTTAGTCATTTTAATTACTGTGATAGCATATATGGCCCTTGTTTGGAAATTACTGACAAAAATCGTATCCAAAGAGTATCCTGTCTGCGTTTTATTTATGGAATAAGAAAATTTGATAGAGTAATTCACAAATTAAGTGATGCTAAATGGTTGGATATGACATGTAGAAGACTTCATATGGCTACTCTGTTTCACAAAATAATTTTATTTAAGTCGCCCCCATATTTGTTTAATAAAGTTAGATATCGCTCAGATATTCACAATATAAATATACGTTCACGCGGTAAAATATCTCCACCACCACATCAAACTTCGATGTTCCAAAGATCCTTTACTTACATGATATATAAGCTTTATAACGGAATTTCAACACAGTTAAAAATGTACAGTATAAGTCGTTTTACAAAAACATATAAGAAAATGTTGTACAATAAGGATATAAACATTGATTAGTCTCTAAATAAACATTAATTTATTAGTCTATATATTTTTCTCTCGAATACATCATTTAAAAATTCTTAAATATTGATATTATAGTTCAAAGGTTGATTGTAAACGCTTGTTAATATTTATTATTTTTTTTTGTCTAGGGCTGGCACTTAGAATCAGTTTTACTGTATGCCAGCTCTATTTTGCAGTGTTACATTAAGTGTTTGTTTTTTTTTACAATTATATTTTTTTTGTTCCATATTCTGTGTAAGCTGCAAATAAATGAATTTATTATTATTATTATTATCAGAATAGTAAAAAAAATTGTTAGAAATACTCAAGCGAAGTGTACATTTCAATAATATGACGATTTCAGCGTGACGTAAGGGAGTGGGAAGGTTACAAATTTACAAAAAAAAGTCACCTCTACATTCTCGAGAGTGATCAATTTTTTTTTATTTTGAAGAAAATAATTTCTGTAATAGGTTTTTTGTAGATGTAGGAATTAACATGTATGCAAACATTAAACAACCTAACTTCCAGAATAATATGAATTACCCCAATTGTATACACTATGGCTTATACCTACATAACCTGTTTTCAATGACGAAATAATTTTGCATATTTATTGCCTAAAAAATAACAGCGCACCAGGCTATGATGGCATTACATCAAGGCTAATAAAAAAATATCACAAATTTCTCTTAGTTCCTTAGTCCATATAATAAACAGATTTTTTTAATTGGTATATAGGATTGCCATATGGACAATGTATAAAAGTAGGACAAGTGTACAAAAAAAAGCCTGAATTTTACTAAAAAGACGGACATTTCTTTACATATTATGCATTTACATAGCATATAAAATTTACAAAGAAGATTCCAGTCACTACCAAATAAAACTGGATTATTACTGATAAAACAGCGAAAAATAATCATTAGGCTACTGTAACTTGACAAACCGGGCCCTAACCTAGTTTTCCAAATACCCCTAACCTTGGCCTAAATTTCGTCTAGTGTATCCCCACGAAGTGATGTTAAAACCCCCAGAATTACGTTTAGAGTTCAATGTAGCTGTAATGGAGGAAGAACAAAGTAAACACAGAGATTAATTTTGAATACTGTTTATTTAACATCTATTCTTTTGTACAGCCGGACATTCAGATTATGTGCCATTGTTAGGATTAACATTATCTTTATGTAGGCTTTCCAATGTGTCATTTCTAACCTCCGTGCTTTTAGTTCCCATAAAAGGGTAACATAAAAGTCGGAAGTACTTTGGTATATTTGTTTGTCTCCTAATATACAATTACACCTTTCCACGGAAATACTGAATTACGCATTGTCTAATAAAAAAGAGTATAGCGGTAGCACGCAGAGTTCTGCGAGGTATAGAATAATATATGTAATATGTGTAAAACCCGAGTGTAGATTTATCTCACCGCGCGTCACGCCTCTCACTAATATTCCAATGCCGTAATGTACTGACATACTCAGTTCTGTAAGGAAAACACTAAAATGATCGATCGTAGAATACCTGATATAAAGGGGGACGCCCATCAGGCCCACTTTTGGGGTATATCAGTAGAGATCCATCCTGCCTGACATAGCCGCAAGGGAAATACCATTTTTAGGCCCTTACTTTTGAGGTCCCTGGCGGTCTATGGTGGCCTAAGGCTCTTGTTCGGCACGATGCTCTTTTGCTCTGAGGATACGTTAGGTAGTCCACAAACACAATTTCAGCTATTTACTCTAAATAACAAACATACCGACTACTTCTGCGTAATGTCCCGCTAAAGGTATGTGGATATGTACAAATAAATCCGACCCTCCTCAATATTCATGATTGTACCCGCCGCTGTACATATCCCCCTTTTCCCGAAAAATCGATATACAAAACTAACACTCCTTAGGGCTAAAATGACACATTCCTCTACCCAATTTTGTTTTACAAAGAATGACGAAAAACATTTATTTTTTAAAGGCAATCTAACTTTAAAATATATACAAATCAATGCATTTACCCTACTAATCTACATCTGTTTGCCATTTAAAAGTAAAACCGAAAGTGCGTTTCCTCTTTACTGAAAGGGACAGGTACTGTTTACAGACAACCAAAACTTTACAATTCAGCCCTTTGGCCATAAATCTAAATGACTTAATTTATTACTTGAGAGTGTTGACCGACTTTACAACAATTAATATTTATGACAACATCACTATCGATTCTCTAAATAGTATAATTTAGCACAATATAAAAACCCTATAATTTTTCCCACAATAAACGTTTATCAATGAATACCAAAAATATGACAATAACACACAGACGCAAATTTTCCCTCTAATGAATATAAAAGTAATAAAGTGATACCTGTAACCCATCAATATTAGTCTAAACTCTCCCCCGGAGTATATGAAAATTAAATACTAGTTTGATTTCTTTAATAGTGCGATTATCGTTTTAATTCTACGTAAAAGAAACCTTACAGAAACAAATACATACCGCTGACAAAAGCGACTGACCGGCGCGTGTTCGTCGGGTCAACCTTAGGGGTGACGAAATCCACTACGAACGTCGCCTAGAATAGTACTTTTAATCATTTAGTAACACTTTATAATGTTGAATCGGAGATATAAAATATCGGGCGTTTAACTATACTAGCGTGGTCTCACCAGTATCAGTTACGCCATTATTTTAGTCGCTTGGTAGATACAACCTTACAAAACAGTTCTAGGAGCGAAATTTGGTTCTATTCAACGTGTATCTGCTTGGTCAACCTGACTATATATCTCCTTTTACTTATATATAAGATATAAGAAAAAGGTGGTCATCCTAAGGACAACTGGATATCTATGCAGAAGCCGTCGTTTATAGAAACTAATTTCTCTACTCTGGCGATTTCTTTTATTTCCGTTCTCAAAACATAACAAAAGCGCGGCCACCATAAGGGTAGCGATATCTCTTTTTAATTATATTTGAAGAATATAAATAAAAAGTAGTCACCGTGGCGGTAACGTGGATATTTGCGTTTTTTGTTAACTTGACTTGGTGAAGATGAAAAAACTAATCCACAGCCCACAAAAACCCTGGTATTTATACTTAAATTTCCCATATGCAAATGTATCGGAAAGAGAACGACTGTGAATTCGGCGCATAAAGACCTTAAAGCTTTGTGTTAATTCCTGAATATAGCCCTGACGTTTTACATCTGTTTTTTTCTAGCGGCCGTTACAGTTTACACGTCGATTTCTTTTCCCAGAAGTAATTAAACGGCGCCTACGAGTCGAGATATGCTGGGGTGTTGTTTGAATTCGAAATAAAATTTTTAAATATGTAATATATAAGAATTATTTAAATTAATTATCAACCCTCCGGTTGTCGGATTTCACTACTGATTATACTACATATAATACCGATATCGATCGGTATAATATATAATATCGGTCGATACTACCAATCAACCAGTCTCAACGACGTGCGACGTTCTGACAGTAAAAACTTAGCGCCTACATGGCATGGTATTGGTTAGATTTTTTATGGTTGACCGGTTGCATTTTGCACATATTAGTATTATAAAAATCGAAATTACATATTTAACACTTTCTCCCAAATTCGAAAAAGCCGGACATAAAGAAAAGCTGGCGGGACATTAACAAATTGCCAAAAATGAGCATTCAGATGTGGACAGCAAAGTGCATCAAACAGGCTTAGCCCGATCCAAATCTTGTCTGTACATCAAATTAAGTGCGCACGACGAACACTAGCGGAAGAAGACGGTTAGCAGAACATACGTTGAAAACGC